GGTAAAACTAGGTAGATTCATCCCGTCTATTTGTCCTACTGACATTTGTCATGGAGACTGAAATTGCTAATGTTGGAGTTGTCCCCCAGACAAGAAGGTAAAAGGAAATCTAATGGGTACACCTTTTCTGTGACATCTTGGTAAGTGGGATTTTAATCCCCAAAGCATTCACAGCCCTCAGGTGGAAACTGATGTCTATGGGTGTCATTTGTGGCCAGATAATGGGGGAGGGGGGCAAGCAATTAAGAGAAAAACGGATTGCTACTATAGCCCACCACCACTTCTTACTTGTCCTCCATTGATATAAACTTTTACAACTGGCAGAGCAAAATGTACAAGTCACTCCAAAGACATGCTGGTAGATTAAAGGTCTCCTGTCTGAACTGGCCCTAGTATGTAGGTATGCATGTCAAGATGAGGATCTACGACAGTAAGCTCCTTGAGGGTGGGAGTGGATGATGTGAATGTGCAGTATGTAAAATGCTGTGTAACTTGTCATTGTTATACAAATGTGGCCAATGTAACAGTATAGAGGTGACGTGTTATTAATTTGACATTCTGCTATAGAAAAGCCACAATTATAATATGATTACATGCAGCGAGATTTTATGGTTTTCATGGCAACATATATATTAAAGATAGCACAATGTCTGTAGATTCATGAATTCTGTATTCCGAATAATGGAACAGCATACATACATACCATAGTCTTGGTGTGAGGTTTGAAGCATCCACAAATTCACCCCATAAACAAGCTTCACCACCAATCACAAGATGCTTCTGCTCTTCGGTCCCTGCAAGAACAAAGCACCAGTATGTCTAAGCTCAAGAGCAAAATAACAGCATCTCACTCACATTGGAAGAACAGGCACAAGGCAAAAAAAACCTAGAACCTAAAATGCTTTCTGGAAAGTCAAATACTTTGTATTCTAGTTCCTACTGATTGTTTTGTAGCCCTTCTTAGAAGCATATTGACAAAGCCCTTTCTGGAAGCAGACTGACCGCCTCCCCCCTCCTTAACATAGTTGTATTATCTGTTAATCTGGCCATTAAAAAGGGAAAAATTTACCCTTATCCTCAAAATAACAAACACACTTTTAGAAATGGTTAGTATTGACAATCTACAAACAAATACTTCTAGATCCTTGGTTCTCGACTGGTGGTTCATGACACAAAAGTGGGTCGTGGCATGGCTTCCATTTTTCTAGGCGACAGTCTCCTCTACCTCCCCCATAGTGCAGCATTTGGTTCTCACGCCCAGCAGCTATTGAAAATATACTGCCTGGCGCCAAGTGTCAGCTTGTGATGGGATGGGGGGGGGGTATAGCCTCGAGAGACCTCTATCCATACGTGCATTGCTTACGTGTGCTGTAGAAGTGCCTGGACGGGAGTGCCTCACGTGTGCTATAGAAGTGCCTGGGCCAGAGTGACATCACAGTCTGCATTGCAATTCATTTGAATGGTACCCCAAACACACCTCCCACCCAGTTTCTGACCCCGCACCGGAACACGCGATACCCTACTGCCTTGTGTTCTATTGCAGTGCGACTTGGGTCGCGACTTAATGACCAAGGACAAATGTGGTTCCTGAGGTTACACAGGTTGAGAACCACTGTTCTAGATCATTGCAGGATTTTAATTTTTTGAATACCTTATTTTTTTCCCCCCTCCCCATTCTTCTTACAGTGGACATTTTATCTAAGGGCATCTAAACCCATCTCCCTTTACTTCCTGGAACTCTGGCACATGAGACTAGGACATGTGAGCATGAACATCATCTCAGGGGAGGAAATGCCTTACCCTGAGATCGCATGACACCTTCCCAGGATGTAATGCTTGGGCACCTTACATTACTTTTCCCAAAGAGAACCAGGAAGTAGAAAACAAAGTAAAATGAAAAAATGTTTGTTTAGCTAAGATGATTTCATATCAGCATGCAGAGCTGTATGGCTGGTGTGATTTCTAGTCAAAGGGGGTAAAGGTCCATGAAGTATTCATTTTTAACTTTCTTTACCAGACCGAGTTGTCGAGCAAAAGTGGCAGATTGGAGGTCTGAGACAAACCATTTAGCACACACAGGGTGCTTTCAATGACCAGCTTTTATTCATTTATGCAATACCTTTATCCCACAAGGAAAAAATGGTTTCTGTAACTGCCTAAACGCGTTAGCTGGAGTTGAGCTCTAATGTGTTGGTTACTTATGTAAATTCCACCTATCCTACATGTATTAGTACATCGAACAGTCGCCTCTCCACAAGTTACATTGCTCCTCCATAGACACAGTGGAGGATTGAGCCCATGAGGGCCCCAAGACAGAACATGTGTTACCATATCACTAGGCAAAAATAAAAG